TAAATGGCAGCAATGACCTTCCTCCAAAGATTGTTCTTTTCATTCGCAAAGCGCCACACCCATTTCATCAAGAGGGCAGTGTTTTTGTGTGCTAGGGACCCAACTCCCATTCCTCCCTGTTGATAAGGCAGCGCAGTCCAAGACCGGGCAGTGTTTTTGTGTGCTAGGGACCCAACTCCCATTCCTCCCTGTTGATAAGGCAGCGCAGTCCAAGACCATAAAATCCATCGTAAGCTTTTCTATTGCATCTATCACAATCTTTGGAGCTCTAATGTTCCTTTTAGTTTTTATATTTTCAAAATATCTATTTTAGTCTCTGTACCCTTACAAAAGGACCATTCTAATGTAATTATTTTTATTTTTATACTATTTTTTATCTCATATCATTTCATCGTAAATTTAGGATGACACTTTACTCACTAAAGTTAGACATTGTAAGTTTCCCATTGTGTATAAAATTTAATTTAAAATTTTACGATGTGAATCAAACTAGTAACTTTTAAAAAATACAAGGTCCAAAAAAGACGTTTTGAAAGCACGAACAAAGTAAAAAATATAAAAATAAAAATGAAGCAAAGGCAAATTACATAGGTAACAATAGTATTCAAATAAAAATGAGTTTCACAGCCAATAAGAGCAAAACTTTTGTATTCATCCTGACTCCTGTTTGAAAATTCCATACATACAGGTAAGAAAAATACATTTTATGCTAAACATAATTATTTAATAGAGCTTCACACTAATTGCAGAGAATTTTTCAATGCTTATTTTGAATTTTTCTCATTACTGTACTATAATGTGTTTTTTGTATGAACTAAGTTATATATCAGAGGTAAAGGTTGAGCTTAAATGAATGTTACTCTATGGGAAGGTTCCGGTCAACCGAATGTGATCGAGGGTTCTCTTTAGGCCATACTTGGACACGGCCTCGTTCCCTTCCCGAAATCCATCTCCATAAGCCGATGATGTATCTGACTCGATCTGGTGTTTGAAAAAGTCCCCAAGTTTCTTCTCAAAGTCGGATCGTTTACCCTTCTTTGACGATGTTGATGAGGACGAGGATGATGAAGGTGATGACGATGAGGATGAGGACGAGGACGAGGACGAGGACGAGGAGGCAGCACTGCTTCCAGAGATGGAATACATCTCAGAATCCAACCACATGTGAGCCAATACTTGGCATATGCCTTCTTCAACCTCGGGCTTCAAATTGGGATATCCTGTTAGACGTCATGCCAAAAAATTATTCAAGAAATCGATTGAAAAGGATACGAGTCTAGAGCAAAGAGACGACCTTTAAGCCTGAGCCATGCGTGCATCATCTCATGGGCCAAGATTGATCCTGTCAATAACCTGCAATGACAAAGTCAAGTGCAGAAGTAAAGGCCTCGACTTTGCGTCATTTGGAAGAACAAATACTAATAGACATGAAACTGGTTAGCTAGGCTACTTCGTCGAAAAAACCATACCGAGGAAGGCCATACAAAACTAGAATAGCAGTGACTTCACATCGTCGAACTAATCTATAAGGCTCTGTAAACATGTCTATTATACGGTAGCCCGCCCCAATCTTCGGCCTCTTTGAGATCTGCAGATTTTATTGAGAATATAACATCATAACATATGAACTGACTCAAATTGGTGTATTTAGAACTAAAGAGATCTAGGAGGGAGAATGTCGTACAGTAGCGACGGTCTGCTCTTCGGATAAACAAAGTCCTCTAGTTTCAGGCAAGTGATGATGACCCTATATCGTCCACAGGAAAACAAAATTCAAATGAATTCTTAAGGACAGCAACGTGTATTGCTTAAACATACAAAAGGTCCATCAGCCCTTACGTTTTTCTCTCCCTCCATGGCCTCATTTAGCGCTTGCCTCTCAACCAACAGCATGGGAACTTGCTGTTCCACTTTCATATTTAGACCCTCATAAAATTCTTGAATTTCGAGGTATAGAGGTTGACATTCGAGAGTCTCCATAATCGCCGAGTCCAAACACTCTAAACAGAGTTTCCGCCCATCGTCAAGTAACAGGTAACTAGTGTCTCTTGGCTGCATCAATAAAAAGGTTAGTTCAACCACAACCAACGACGTAACTACAGCAATGATCATAGTCGTTCTAATCGAGTTGAAACCGAGATGGTGGGAGTAGTTTTCTCAAGACATTGTGTCTTCCTAATGTGCTCATGTGTGCACGGTAAAAGGGGAAGGGGGGAGACAATGAGGTAGAAAATGATTTCGAAGTGCACCTCCATTCTTTCACAGCTACAACATCTTGGAGTTCCATCTCGTTCGTGTGAAGGACAATATTGTTGTGACCAGAAAGGATGCTTTCTATACTCAATAAGACCAGAAGAATTAGTAGGAATCTGTACAGAAAGAAATGAAGGAAAAGATCAGAAACAATACATTTTAGGGTTATACGGTTTCATAATCGACAGAGAAGAAAGGGACGACACGATGCTTCATATATCATTTCCAGTAATGCTTAAATCAGTCATCATATGATCATTTTAAATTATTAAGATCTTAAACTGGTTTTAAACACCTAATTTACAAAGGCAATAGACCTATGAGAGCATTTTAATCCGACTCGTCTTTGCTAGTTCAATTATGTCACTGGGACAGCATATCTGAGATTTTTGAGTTGCTTAAAAATCATCCACACGATCAAATGAACTCATTATATGGAATAGTTGCATCTAATCATGATTTGAGATGAAAAACTGATTTACTTTGATTCTTCCTGAAGTTTTAAGATTTTATATTTAATTTAGGTCTGTTTGATCATTTCATTTTTAGTTTCCTGCCACCTTATTTGATATATTTTTCACCTTTCTTAAAAATACATTTGACTTTTTAGTCCAATTTCAAAAACAAAAACAAGTTCAAAAAACTCTTTTTCTTTTAATTTTCAAAACTTAGCTTAGTTTTGAAAAATGTTTATAAAAGGAAGATGAAAAAACAACGAAATACATAAGTAGAAGTAGCATTTATAAGCTTAATCTTGAAAAGCAGAAAATCAAAAACAAAATGGTCAACATCAAACAGTTCCTGTTCTGTTTTGTGTAGTTTGAGGAAAATCAAAGATGAAAAAGAAACATAGTTTGAAGCAATATGTAATGTTTATAAATGGTGAAATATTTTCTAGCTCAGAATTTTACATGCATGGCAAAATAATGTGTTAGGAGCCAAGCACAATGGCTAAGAGAAAGATCAATCAAATAGGAGAAAGAGAAACAAACTAATAGCACCACATTGAGACAGATAACTCCGAACAATGGATGAATCTATGCAATAAACGACTAAACAAAAGATACACTTACAAAGTTCCGACAAACATCACATCTTGGGTGATGCTGCTCCTTATAGCACGATTTGTGATAAGGTCGGTTCCCAGACATAGAAAACTGTCAGAAATTTGATTCATTATAATAAGAAAACCAATAGCCACACATTCAAAATGTGGAAATAGTTGCTGACATTAAATAGAGACAGATTTTCCAGATAGTAAATCAATATGTCTCAGTAGCTTTTGAAAACAATTTACAGGTTCGAAATGATTTGAAGGGTACCCTAACAAATTTATGGAATAAACTTCAATTGTATATTTACCTCATAATCTGTTATGGGTTCATTGCAAGAATGGCACCGGAAACATTCTGGATGCCAAACAGCTCCCATGCAACTTAAAAACCGACCGTGACCGATCTCAATATTGCACCCGGCACAGATCCTGCATGAATTATGATTTTAGTTACTGCAACTGCATAAAGTTTAAAAAACGACTGGGTTAGACTTCATATGGTGTCCGGTAAATCCTTAAATCGTGTTTCATATTGTCCAAGAATTATTATTCTAAAGGTATAACTATCAATTAGAAAGAAACCCGCAGAGATCCCATAAGGTATGTTAAACCACATAAACATGAAATAGTGAAGCATGTTGGAAAGATAGCTAATTTTCTAGTCAATATCATGGCTTGAAACATTATAACACTTTCAGTATCGAGCTTAATAGCCTCTTCCAAAAATTGAGTATACTCTAACTTTGGGAATTAACTATGGTACTGAAGCTATAAATGACAAACATGAGATTCAGATAGTTTACCAATCAAATTTGTCAATTATTATGCAGATCAAAAGTTTGCATCCTATCAAATTGGAGCTTTTAGATCCGCTGATGGATAATCATTTTTTCTTCTTCTTTTTTTTATAATTTAAAGCCAAATTTTTTTGTAACTTGATTGGTATTTTCAATTAAACTTATTATCCACCAGACCAAGGTCGGGGCATGGGGGCCATGGGCTCCTTGATGAGGCTGAGAAATATGCATAAATGACCACATTTACCTGTATCCTGATGGATAAAATAAAGGAAAAGGATTGAAAATATTTCCAGTATCGTATCTAGGAGGTGGTGGCTCTATGTTTAAACTTTCTTGGAGCGCTCTGGCAAGCTGTTCGTCTTCTTCAGCTTGAAATTTAGTAACCTTTTCATCATCCTCCACTAGAGTGCTAGCAACTCGCTCATCTTCCTCCATTTGAGCTTTGGCAGCACGCTCATCTTCCTCCATTTGAGCTTTGACAAGTCGCTCATCTTCCTCCATTTGAGCTTTGGCAAGTCGCTCATCTTCCTCCATTTGAGCTTTGGCAAGTCGCGCATCTTCCTCCATTTGAGACTTAGTAATCTGATCGTCATCCTCTGATTCGGCTTTGGTACTCTGTTCATCTTCTTCACTGTGAACTTCTTCATCTGCAATTGATAGGTTATGTAAAACGAAATACTCAACTCCGGATATGAATAAAACCTTGATATAGTGTGGCAAGTTTGCCATGGTACCATTGTTGTTTATGACCAAGAGAATTAGAAAACAACATTTGCACGTTCTCTTGTTTCAGCATTTTCACCCCTTGTTTTCAGATGAGTTTCTCGTTTCTTTCATCAACAAACAACACATGGCCCTTTTACCATCATTTCAAATCTAACATTATGATATTGAAAGGGCAAAAGGAGTGGAATTATGGAAGTATTTGAAGTTATTGATGTGGGATGATATTGTCTCAGTCCCATTGGAAAGACGTCCCCAGAAGTCTTTTGAAGAAGTCGATGTTACAAGTTCTTAACTTCTGATGTTTAATGCTTATTTCCAGAGATGAGATGATGATGATGATAAGTTAAAACATCTATCAAAGCATATTCATACATACACGTAGAATTCGTAAAGCACAGAATTATTTAGCAAAAATAACAATAATTACTTTACGATAGAGGTTTAAAGGCAATGCAACAGTTCATTAGAGAGTGAAACTCTATTTATTTTATGATATGTTATCTCAATACTGTCCCAAACACACACCAAGTGATGAGCACACTTAATGGGGCAATCACAGAACGCAAATATTTCCCATGCGACCTGCTAAACTTACCTATTGCTGCTTTCCCCTCATGATCTAATTCCGAAAGAGATAGTGCAATTGCATAATCGATTTCCTCTTGTTCATATTCCGTCAAATCATCCTGTGGTCAAGTTTTACACGAACACAGAATCAGTACCGAGTATTGAGAAGTATCTTATTCTGTTGTGAATACATGATATTCTGGTAGCAAAACCAGTTCCATACCACAGAGGTTTGAGGTTCATCCCAAATTCTATCGTTTCCATATTTTTCCCTGTATGAGCTTTTAGGACCTTTGAAAAGCTTGGTCAACCAACCCATGCTCGAAACTTTATTACTTGGGATTGCTTAGCTGCAAAACTTTTTCCTGCAGCAAGTTATTCAGTCAGGTAGGTACAACATATCATCTACTCTACATTCCAAAATTTATAAATGGAAAGTCAATCTTTTTCAATAGTTCTTTAAATCAATCTCTCTCACAGATTACTGTTTTTAAATTTGAAATGAATGAAAGTTGCAGCAAGAACAAACACCAATACAGAGAATGGTAGGAGTTCAATTCACACGGCAGAGAAAGAGAACTGAGGCTTGCATCAGCCAGTGAAGAAGTATCACTGACAGAACCCCAATGGCATCCGAGTTTCATACAGACTTACAGTAGCTATAAAAATCGTCAAAAGAACATAAATTTAACCTTACAGACCGAACATCACGAAAAGAAACAATGAAACAATGCTGCTTCACAACAATTAAGCTTTTCGCTGCCATTACAGACTTATAGGGAGACCAGATAGAGAATAAATCTTCCCATTAAACAGACAATTCTAAAATCATGAAATCAAAAGCTTCCAAAATTGCAAGTGCAGTAACCAAGCCTATTCCTCTTGAAGACAAATCCATCTCAAATTCACATGACAAAACCAGAAGAATAGTCTCAAATTCCTGTTCTGATAAACAAAGGGAAAAACCCAAACCCTTTGAAACCACCAAAAATAACCATCAAAACACCAGTGTTCTCATAAAAGCCAACAGGGTAATGAAGAATGCAAATCTGGTAAAAGAGAACTCAATTCAATTCCATCCCATTCCACTCCACCTGAAAAAGGCAAAGGAAGCAGCAGAGACTGTTGGATCGGAAAAATCTAAGATCAGATAGAATTTCAGAACCCCACCAATTCATAGTCACCAAAATAGAAATAGAGGACACAAAAATATTCTCCTCGGCATATCCTGGCCCAAAATTTTGCCTGAAAATAGCCAAAACTTTCCTGGACAAGCAAAGTCAAGGAAAAATTCATTTAAAGAAAAGAAAATAAAAAGGGAACCAAAAAGAAAAGGTGGGGAATTGAAAGCGTGAAAGAAAGGATACTTCAAATCCACGCAATTCGAAATAGAACAGCAAAAGCTGGAGATTGTTGCAGAATAAGCAGCTGATCATAAAAGAGGAAATGAAAAATAGGAGAAAAGAATCAAACCCAGAAGGGGGAGGAGACTGGAGAGTGTTTAATTTCAACAAAATTCATCTGTTTCTCCTCCTCTGCAAGTGGGTCCTCCGCCAATTTCCCACCACATCCCACAAAACGTCAAAGAACCCATTGAGCTTTTTTTTTCCCTCTGGTTTGACAAAACGTCACCATGGAAAGGGAAGAGGGAAGAGGGGAACGAAAGCGATTTTTGATCTTCCGCTGAGTCGAGGGTCGGTACTTGACTCGCCACTCAATAATCAACGCTAAACTAATGAGTCAAAAACGTAGAAATTTGCCGAGTCCTTCATTCTTTTCTCTGCCCTTCTCATTTACTACCAAACTTCCCGAGCGGCAAAGGCAACCAACTCCAACCCATAATTAAAAAATGACATAACTTTTTGTCACTCTAATCAATTTCAAAGGGAAAAAACAAAACTTTTCGTCACTTGTGTTTTCTTTTTTTTTTTTGAAAGAAAAAGAGTTCTTTGAAATGAAGGTTATTTTATGAATTGAGCTACGTTTAAATTTTTGAAATGTTCCTTTTCGAGGAAAAAAAAAAGAAATTTGAAATTTTGATTGATTTTTTAAAGTTGGATGGGATTCAAATAATTTCAATCCTTTTAATTTAAAAGGATCTGATTTCAAATTGTTAATAAAAAACAAAAGAAAACAAAACTTTCAGATACTAAATTGGTTGTATTTTGTAGGAGTTAATAGCATTATAATATAATCCTTCAAAAAAAAGCATTTTAATGTAAATTATTAATTTAATTATTCGAGAATGGGAGATAAAACATCTAGTAACATCTCAAAATTGATGGTCCGATCTCCTGTTGAACTTAAGAAAAATCTTGTCATATTTTAATTTTCTATTAATAAATCAAGACTTAAAAGTTATATTAATTTCAACATGGTACCTATTTCCCACCAAAAAGTCGTAAGTTCAAATTCTCGTCCTACTTATTATAAAAGAAAAAATATATATATATTAATATTTTCCTTTTCTAAAAAAAAAGTTTGTAATTAGATTCCTTCCAAATCTTTCTCATTTCCAACCATATAAAATTTAAAGTCAAGTTGGATCTTCAAATTACGAAAGTAAATATCATTTCTTGATTTTTTTTAATGTAAAATAGAAAATACAAACAAATTTTAGTATAGAAGTGAGAATACGAACTCATAATCTTCTGATCGAATATAAATATCTTAACCATTTGAATTAGACTATCGTTAACATCGTTAGTTATATCGTTCAAAAATGACAAATATATAAGAAGAATATAATTATGGCTTTGGTAGTTTTTTTAAGTTGCCGACACTGGTCTTAATCAAATTGAGATAACTATTCCAATTCCAATTATGAAAATGAGATTAGTATTTCTTAATCATAAATCATTATGCTCGTTTTTAGTTAAAAGAATGTGGGTTAGGGTTTGAATTTCTAAATCCAAAAATAATAAATATAATAATATCTTAACCGTTGAATTATACTTGTGTCAGTAAATAATTATTTTTTAAAAATATTATTGTACATTGTATTTGTTTTTTTAAAAAAATGTTAAAATAAAATTGTTTATATTCTTAAAAAATTATCAAATCTTTTTCTTAGTTATTTTGAAAATACCTTAAGAAAAAAGTTATTATTATGTTTCGAGAAGAAACTTATTTTCAAACAAATTTTTAATTAGGAAGATAAATATAATTGATTTTGTTATTTTATATAAAGTATTTTTAAAAATGGTATACTATATTGTTGGTTAATTTCTTTTTATTTAATATTTATTAAAAATTTTGTGCAGTATTATTCGTGCTAGGTACCTCAAAAAATTAGAACAGTATTATTTTTGTTATTCCTATTAAAAGTAATAAAATCAATCAAATTTAAATAAAATTAATGAATAGCCTATAAAAATTTGACATAATTTTTTTAACCAGATAGCCAGGGTATTAAGATTGAATACAAAATAATTCAAAATTAAGCAAATAACAATAGTGAAGGACAAAATTAAATCATGTACAGTTATCACATAATTCGTACAAAATAGATTTACTTCTTACCGTTAACAAATGTTTCCAAGGTATGAACCAAGAAAAAAAAAATTAAGTATAGAAAAAAAATGAACGGAACCATTTTATAGTTGCATAAAGTAGATCAGTTGTCATTCGTACATTTTTTATATTCTACCATTAAATTTAATTAAATGCGAAATTTAATTTTAAAGTTAACTTAAATATAGGCAAAACTAATTCTTAACTTTTTCAAATTTATTTCATTTAATCTACTTTCTGGTGAACTAAATTTTGTTGGCCCAAACCAAATTTTCCGTATTTATAATTTTTTGATTTTATATCTGGGTGAATTTAAAATTAATTTTTAATATCTCAATTTTAAAATATAAATATTCTCATATTTTAATTTTTAAAAATAGATTTTGCTAATTTGGATATATATAATTTGTATCTTCTAATCATAATTTATGTTTTTCATTATTGTTATAAAATAATACATGAAAATATTTTATTTTATCATAGAAGCGTTATAGTTTAAACCTAGTAAATTGGCAATTAATGATTAATAGCATGTATTGTAATTTAAAAAAGGAAGAATTGACAAAATATATATATATATATATCCCATTATATATTTTTATGACATTTTTTATATAATTAGCTAAGATTTGTTAGATGTATGGATCAGGCCAACACAATATTACCGAGCTTTTTATGACAAAGCATGGTTGATTAGATAAGAAATTTAATATCAAATAATGATACTCTAGATTAATTGGATGACATATTTTTTATAAGTAAATTTCGGATCTGTTTGGGAATATTATTGAGCTTTTTATGACAAAGCACGCTTGATTAAATAAGGGACTTGAATTTCTTTAATTAGAATACATGCTTTTTATAAATAAATTTAACATTTTGTAGACCAAGGAAGAAAATACATAATTGTTGTATATTGGAAGCACCAATGTCAATACTATTCACATGGTTATGGACAAATATTTAAGTATTTGGTTGATAATATTACTTAACTTTATTCAAATTAATATATAACCTATCACAACCACGATGACATTCCAAGTGGAGATCATGAGTTCAATCTGTACCTGGAGAAGAAAAAACTACTCTATATCCTAAATATTTTTAAAATATATTTATTTATCTAATTATTATAAACAAACCCTAAACCTTGAAAGGAGTCATTTGTTTTTTTTAATTTTTGAATAAACGAACTAATATTCTCAAAGGCAGTAGCTACTAGAAATGATTGAGTTTTACGAACCTATATACAATATATATTTTTTTATATAATTATATTATATATAAATATTTGGGGTGGGTTAGAGCGAGAATATCCTACCCCATCTCCCAATTTAGTAAGCCGAGTAAAAACTCTGTTCTGATCTCATACTCGATCAAACTAGAGATTTTCCAACCGGACCACTGAGACGTGATCCCAGCATATACATGAAGTGCAGGTGATACAATCAATCATTTTCACAAGATGCGAAACAAAATTTTATTAATTGAAAAAAAGAAAAAGAAAAGCAGCCACTGCCCTCAACCGCCCATTTATTTATTTGTTTGGTATATATATATATATATATAGTAATTTAGTGCTTCTCTCTTGCTTTCATGGTCTATATACAAACTTTATCATTTAGAAGTTACGAATTTATTTCTATATAATTTTATTTGATAGGCCTTATATGTATTATTTAAAAATTACGAGTTTAGCCCCATGATTTTTGTACTAAAAAAACCATGATTTATTTATATTTTTGAAAAAACTAGAAAATGAACCCTAAATAATCAATTTAATTTTATTCTTTTCAAAAATTAGAAATAAGAAACATGAATAATTACAAAATATTTATATTTCTCGGGAACGAAAAACAAAAAACAAAAAATTATCAAACCCACCTTTAATAAAGTCAAATTTCAGTAAAATTTCATATACCAAAATATAATTTAAACCTATTACAAAATTAAGTCAATAAACAATTGGAGAAATTTTAGAGGATAAATAATAGGATTTTGGTATTTTATCTTTTACAAATTTCTATTGGAAAAAGGAAAGTATGAAAGGGATCATAAATTTGTTTTGTGGTACAGAGTTGACGTGGTTGTGACAAAAAGGTCTTAATTTTTTGGCCATATTTTTGAGCTGGATCCACTATGTCTTACGTAAATAAAGTTATTTTTATCTCTCCCTCTTAACTTTTTCTTATACATTACTTTACTCCAATAGTGCAAAAGTTTTGAACCACAAGTTTAACTTGCCCTTATCTCCTCTCATAAAATGATAATAGAATGATACATCAACTTTTTCTTGGTAAATATTGATCCATTATTTTTTGAAATGATTTAATTGAATTTTAAAAGATTAAGGACCAAAATGATATAATTATTTAAAAGATTAGGGACTACTTGATATGTGTAGCCCATAACTAATAAATAAATTGAACTTGATTGACTTTACTCCAACTTCTCATATTTATGTCAACCTTATTTTATTTTTTATTTTTTTTAGTACAATAAGTAGAGGTGGGGGATCGAACTCACAACCTCTTGATTGGAGACGAGAGACCAAAAATGGGAAGCTATAAGAAGTAATTAAGAGATGAAATTAGAAAGAGATCATGGATTGAAATGGTAGACATAGTTCTCAATTAACAAAACTTGTACATTATAAGAGGTTCGTATTTGGTCAGGTCTTTTTTTTCTTAATTTAATTTATATTATTGTATTTTACTTTATTAAGTTTTACTTTAATTAAAAAAATAACATAAGTTTACTTTATTATTAGTTTTAATATAAAGTTTAAATTAACTAATTAAAAAGGTTAGATTTATTTAAATGTTTTGATTTTATTAATAAGAATATAAAAATAGTTTTGTTTAGATTTTGTTTTATCATTAAATAGAAAAATAGATAAATAAAATTTGATTTGTTTTTAAATAAAAATACTGATTTTGTTTCCTCAAGCACACAAGAACCAACACACAGAAGTTAAAAAGACAGAATAAAGGGGGAGAAAAGAGAGAGCACACAACACAGAACAATGATTTGGACTTCGGTGCACACCTCATGACCTCCATTGCTGCCTTGAGACCATCCTCTCGTGATATACCGACGACATCGAAGAGTCCAGCGACCCACTCTAACACCCACGAGTTCAGGCGACAAACGGCATCAGTTTCGGTGGAAAAATCTCTGCACAAAATAATTTTTAAATAAAGTAAACAAAAAGTTAATTTCATTTAAACAAAAAGATTAGGAAAAAATAATAAGAGTTTTTATAAACTAAATCTTGTTTCAAAAATAAATTGGATTC